CTCCAGAGAACACATCTCCTCTGCTCTAGAGTCCAGTGGCGGTGTGCTTTACACCACTGCATCCAATGCTTTGCATTGCACTTGGTGATGTAAGGCTTGGATGCAGCTGCTCGGCCATGGAAATCCATTCCATGAAGCTCTCTACACACTGTTGTTGTGCTAATCTGAAGGACACATGAACTTTGGGGGACTTTAGCTATTGACTCTGCAGACAGTTGGTGACTTCTGCGCACTGTGCGCTTCAGCATGCTCTAACCCCGCTCTGTCATTTTACGTGGCCCACCACTTCGTGGCTGAGTTGCTGTTGTTCCCAGTTGTTTCCACTTTGTTATAATTTCACTTGACCGTGGAATATTTAGTAGCAAGAAAATTTCACAGCACGGTACCACGCTTGAATTCACTGAGCTCCTGAACTGAGCTATATTCGAAAGATGCCTGCCCATCTGAGAAGTGTTTTTGTAGATTTATACATTTTTGCTAGATTAGACCTTATATTATGTGTGTGTATGGTTCTAATTGGGATGCTCAGTAGAGGGTGATGAGGTGCAGCACACATTTGATTTAATGTGGTTCTAAAGGCACAAGGTGTTTTACCTTAATACATTCTCTGCATTAAGGTAACTTACTTGAGCCTGATCCTCAACCAGTACTGTGCCTAAAAGCAGCATTTCTCTCTGCTCTCTCCCTCCTCACAGGGAAGATTGATAGCAGTGGGGGCAGGGGGTGGAGCCAAGCCATGCTGTCTGTTTCTGTAGATACAGACAGGGCAGCTCAGGATCGAACCTGCACAAGTGCCCCCCTAGGAAGCCACTTCAGAGAGGACTGTGACTGCTCTGTGCAACAGCATTTCATAGGGCAGGTAATTATAACATCTATAATATCATTGCAGTGATAAAAATAACGATAATAGCAATATAAAGTGATAAGTGAAAAAAGCGTTAATAAAGAGCACAATAAAGTGATAATAAAGCGTTGTCCTATATGGACAAAAATCAGTGACATAAACGCACAACATAAACGTATAACAGTCCACAAAATATTCTTCCTTAAAGAACGTGCTAATATCATCCAATGTGTGTTGGTATTAGTTGCTCTTGAGTCAACCACTACCCTAGCATTCCTCAGGGATACAAAGCATTTGTCCAGTACTACAACCCCACCTCCCTTGTCCGCAGGGCTTATTACAAGATCCTTATTCTACCTGTATTAATGTTCTGTTGATTATGCCAGTTTTTAATCTTTAATTTATCCAAATCTTTAGTCACCATACACCAAAGCTGCTTTCTATGGGGCACTCGCAGGAGAGGAGGAGTCAGAAGCGCATTTGGGGTCCTGAGAGGAGGAGGTTCAGGGCCACCCTGTGCAATTCCATTACACAGAGCAGGTAAGTATGAACTTATTTGTTAAAAAAAAAAAATAAAAAAATACTATCACTTTAATATTCAAAGCAAGCTCAGCCATATATGTCTCCATTCTATATTTTGAAAAATCACCTTGAAGAACAGCCCTTCATCATTTATACCTATGACTATCTTGATTAAGGGCATACATCCCATGAAGATTCCTGGGATGTATGACATAATTTTGCCTCGGCCTAGAAACCAGGAAGTAACTGAAGAAATGTAGAAAAACAGCTTAAAACAAGTAAAAATTATATACTTTGCTATCTATTTACTAATGATAGCAACATAAGGACTAATGCTACAAATACACTGGAAAGCCCCTAGACGTTAACTCTAGCAGGAGAAAAATGCTAAATGTGGAAAAAAAACACATGTAAAAGCGGTACCGCATTTAGCCGCATTTAGCGCTTGGACGTTTAATAATTTTATTGGCCAGAGTTCTTGCCATTGAAATGAATAAATGCCCATGCGCTAAACACGGCTAGCCGTGGTTGGTGTTTCATGGGCAAAATCTTCCTCTCCTGAACACGATTCTTCTGTGTTCAGGAGAGGAATGTATAACTGCCCCTAAACTCTGCTACTTCTAAACTTTGGTAAAAGCCTTTGTGTGCATGGAGACATAGGATTTTACAGAGTTGAGTTCAGTGACTGGGAGCAAAAGGCTAGAATTACTGATGAGACTGTGGATCACTGGAGGCCCACAGGAGCTGGATAAAGGCTGGATATTCATTGGGAACACTTGAAATATCCCTAGGGAACACAGGGGGTTTGGCTAGGATTGCCACCTCATCCCTTTAACCTCCTCGGCGGTATGATTCTTTCCGATTTTTTTGTGCTGAAAGCGGTACCATTTTTTTGCATGGAAATATGTAGTTTTTTATTGTAGGCTGTAATTTTTAGGAATAACTCACTGAAATCTGTATGAACAAGAGTCTAGTAAACATTCCGGATATGATAAAACTTGAAACACAAAATCATAAATTATAATTTAATAAATAATCATAAAAAATAATAATATAATAATAAATTTAATTCAATAATATAATCAAACTAAAAACACAGAAATTTTCAATACAGAGGCAAATTCGCACATCGCTGAGCAAAGTCGCAAAACCGTTTTCAGTGTCTGATGACGAATTTCCCCACGAATCATTATCACTCAATTCTGCAAGTGGTTCTGATTTACTATCGCGGTTCTAAAACTGCTTTTGACGTAAAGGGACACTTTTTGGGCACCATGGACTTTTCTAAGTTTCCAGGCAGAAAGAACAGTCAAAATGCAGGCAGGGCACAGGACAAAGCAGTAGGGACAAAATATATGTCAAATGCATTGAAACAGCAATGACAGCAAAAATGACATTTTTAAAAAATTTAAAATTTCCCACCGGTTCCGGCGCCCGTACGTCCTGACGTCACAGGGACCGGAACACGGAAGCCGGATGCCGGCATTGGCCGGAGGAGATGGCTGGAGACGCTGCAGGGGACACATCGCGGGAGCGAAGGACAAGGTAAGTGCTGCAGGGACCCTCTGAGCAACGCCGCATGGTAAGCCCGAGTGTAGCTCGGGGTTACCGCTCTTGGTACTGAAACACATATTAATAACACAGGTTCTGTGTCTGATTACGGTGGTAATTAAACTCAGTGCCTTATGTGCATTAAATCAACCTCAGAACCTGTGTAATTAATATGTGTTCAGTTTTAAAGGGATGAGGGGGCAACCCTAGGTTCAGCTCCTAGCATGTGGACGCATTGCTCAGTGAGCAAACCACCTGCTAGCCCTTTAAGCCCTTCTGTGCTGCAGCACTGGAGGAAGCATGAAGCCAGTAGCAGCACACAGAGGGAAATACTCAATGCTGGAGCATGGAACAGGTGAGTGTAGCCATTGCATTAAAACCAAACTCTAGCTAAACTTATTCAAATGAATGTGCTGCCGTGACCGAGCAAACGCAGCCCACACTAGTGTGAATCAGTGAGCTTAGGAGCTTTTGGTGTTTTTTTTGTCAAAGTCCCTGAACTAGGGTTGCCACCTAATCCCTTTAAAACCGAACATATATTCATTACACAGTTTCTGAGGCTAATTTAATACAGATAAGGCACTAGATGAGTTTAATTACCACCTTAATCAGCCACAGATCCTCTGTTAATAAAATGTTAGGTTTTAAAGGGATGACGTGGCAACTCTAGTATCTTAGCGCTGCAAGGGACTTTTATCTGCACTCAGCAGCTGCAAATGATGAATACAGTGAACCTACTCAGTAGCTGCAAGCTTGGGTGAGTTAGGGGATGGCAACCTGGGAATCCTTTCCAGCATAACATGTCCACCTTTATGAGCTCAGGCTGAAGACAAGGTCCTTCTTAGGGTCCTCACTAATGTTAAGGCTAGGTTCACATCTCCACTTTCCTGTGGGCACGAGAGCCCATTCATTTGAATGAACTCCCGTGCCCTGGGGCACGCGGGGAAGAAGTCCCTCTCCTATTTGGAAAATGCAGCCCGCACGGGAACCTCTGTTCCCAGTGCGGTTGCGATTTCCAGTGCAGGCGGAGTGGCATTAGAATTAATGGCACCCACACGCGGTCTGCATTCCTCTGTGTGGGTGGTGCAGCTGTACGGATTTTTGTGCGGATCCGCAGCGGCACCACCCACACAGATGTGAACCAGGGGTAAGGACCAGCACAGTGGCTAAATGGTTAGCACTTCCGCCTGGCAGTACTAGGGTTGTTGGTTCGAATCCCAGCCACAGCACCTCCTGCCTGGAGTTTGCATGTTCTCCCTGTGCCTGCGTGGGTTTCCTCTGGGTCTCCGGTTTCCTCCCACACTCCAAAGACATGCTGGTATAGGAGAATTGGCTCCTGTCTAAATTGGCCCTAGTATATGTATGTATAAATGTGAGTTAGGGACCTTAGATTGTACACCCCTTGAGGGTTAGGGACTGATGTGAATGTACAATCTATATATGTAAAGTGCTGCATAAATTGATGGCGCTATATAAGTACCTGAAATAAATTAATAAGGGAGCAGATATCTTTTTATTCCTTGTGCCTTCTCTGTGGCTTTCTATTCTGCCTCCAGCTGTGTGGATGATTTTTTTTTTTTTTTTTTTTGCCTTGTGAGTAAGGAGACGTGTAGTTAATACTGCACCTTGCTAACTGTGGGTGTCATGCTTGAAACTAATTAACTCTGGGCCATTATCATGATATCATCTAAGATTTTTTTTTCTTGAAAAATCCAAATTAACCTGTCTTCAGCTAATTAAACTGTAAAACTGTACACAGGGTAAAGTACTTTGACATTTGTGTGTAAACGTAATCTTTAGACTATAAATCATCTGGATATGATAGAGCTGCCTAGAGCTTTATATATAATGTTGCACACTTCCGGAATACAGATGACAGTGTGCCAAAGGGGAGGAGACTCGCAGACAATCCAGGTTGGGGCACAAACTTCTCTAACAATGAAATTAAGCATATTCTTGTTTGTTGCTATCTGGATTGGTGTCAACTCTGCGCAGAGAGGTAAACCCACCAATTGTAAAGAATCATTGTGATGGATTCTAAAAATTTCTGACTGGTTAAATATATTTTTTCCTTTGACTCTTCCAACTAGGATATTTTTGGCATCTTACGGATTTGCATTTGGAACCCAACTATATAGTGACCTCTGACCCTGGTAAAGTATGTCCATCTGCAGGTAATCAGCCTGTGAGAAATCCCGGGAAATGGGGGCATTATCTGTGTGACTCTCCTGGCGTACTCATTAACTCGTCTATTCATGCGATGAAAACAATCCTACCAAATCCAGACTTCATACTCTGGACTGGGTGAGTACAAAGTGTGCATTAACAGTCTAGCTTTGTCAGTATTCTTTGTCATCTGGCTTATGATAGATAGATAGATATTTATTTATTTTTTAAAGCGTAGTTCCAGTGAAAATAAAAAAAAAATAAAAGTCAGCAGCTACATAAACTGCAGCTGCTGACTTTAAAAAAAAACGGACAATTACCTGTTCCTCTGTCCTGCGTTGTCCCCCCCTTCCCCTTCCCAGAGCCAGTTTCACTGGCCACCCTGTGTTCCCAGCGCTGACATCTTCAGTGTGGGCACCCGGCTGTGACAGCTGTGGCTTCACAGCCGGGTGCTCATTGCGCATGTGCAAGTAGCGCTGCACTTTGTGAATGTAGTGTAGTGTCCCAGAAGACTACGGGGAGGGAGGGGGAAAAGGACAACTTCTGCTTCTGATCGCCTAGGCGATTACAGCGAAAGTGGAACGAGTACCTGTCAATTTCGGATACCTGCTCCCCAAAGGTGCCAATCGTTAACGGGGAACAATCCTTAAAGCAGAACTTCCGCTTTTGGGTGGAGCTCCTCTTTAAGATGCAAATGGAACTTGAGTTAAATTTGCTAAAAGGGCTTTGAAGGAAGAATGTATCTTCAGAACTGCTTACAAAGATCTTCCACAATGCTGAAAAATTTCTCTTTTGTGGTAATGTATTATAGAAAAATAGTATTTGAGAAACACATTCAGGTTGCATGCACACTAGACGCTCAAACTGTTGAAAAAAGCTGGATAAAAAACACTAATATTTTACCTGCGTTTTTGCAGGGTTTAGTATTGCTTGCAAAAGTGTTTTGGAGCGCTAGCATTTTATCTTATTTTATTTTATCTTGTCTCTAAATACCACCCAAAAGTTGATGAAATACACTCCATTCCATGCTATGTCTTATGGGAAAACAGAAGATATCCAAGAACACAAGAGAGAGAATATCAGATGAGAACAAAAGAAAGCGTAAAAAAATAATTGATACAATATATGAAATACTAAAGAAAAAAAGGGGAGGTAGCTGTCTGTCTATATCTGCTATTGGTAGGCCTTTTATGAAACAGTCTAAAATAAAAAGAAAAACTTTTTGCATTACGCTAATTGGATGCTCTGAGACCTCACAGACAGTTATTCTTTTGCTACGGTAGAAGAAATAACTGAGAGTGTTCTATAATAATTTCTCATCTTAAAAGATAAGTTGGTCATGTTCAGGAAACCAACATAACATGGACATCTTGAAACATTGGTATACCAGCTAGATAGAAAATGAAGGGATACAAAATGATTTCTACAGATAACTTTAGTACACTACAGGGAGACATAAAGTAGAATAGACAGGTTTAATACTTTTGGATAAATTCCTATTATTTTGCATTGTGATGTAGAATTTTAACAAGGTATGCAAACTATCAAATAAGAAATGGGTTTGGTGGAAATTAAAGCAATGGAAGCAGAACTGTGCATGACTTGACAAATCCGTGCCAAGTGGCATACAATTTATAGCATTAAAAAAAGTATTGAATGCTTATGTTCCCACTATCCATTTATCATTTCTCTGCATTTGATTTGGTAAAGATAATCTGAGTCAACTTGTTCTAGTACAATCAAGTGCTCAGTGTAGTTTCAGTTTCACTTCGCACTATTCCCTATTTACCATGAAGTGCAGCACCTGTGTGTTTTTTACACTGCATTTCCATTCCTGTATACACTATATTGCCAGAAGTATTGGGACAACCTCCAAATCATTGGATTCAGGTGTTCCAATCACCTCCATGGCCACAGGTGTATAAAAACAAGCACCTAGGCATGCAGACTGCTTGTACAAACATTTGTGAAAGAACGGGTCACTCTCAGGAGCTTAGTGAATTCAAGCGTGGCACCGCGATAGGTTGCCACCTGTGCAATAAGTCCATCCATGAAATTTGTTTGCTACTAAATATTTCACGGCCAACTATTAGTGGTATTATAACAAAGTGGAAGCAACTGGGGACAACAACTACTCAACCAGGAAGTGGTAGGCCACGTAAAATGACAGAGCGGGGTCAGCACATGCTGAAGTGCGCAGTAGTCACCAGCTATCTGCAGAGTCAATAGCTAAAGACCTCCAAACTTCATGTGGCCTTCAGATTAGCACAACAGTGTGTAGAGAGCTTCATGGAATGGGTTTCCATGGCTGAGCAGCTGCATCCAAGCCTTACATCACCAAGTGCAATGCAAAGCTTCGGATGCTGTAGTGTAAAGCACTCTGCCACTGGGCTCTAGAGCAGAGGAGACGTGTTCTCTGGAGTGACGAATCATGCTTCTCTGTCTGGCAATCTGATGGATGAAGAGTTGAAGCTGTTATAGCTGCAAAAGGTGGGCCAACTCAATATTGAACCCTACGAACTAAGACTGAGATGCCAAAAGTGCTTCTGGTGCATTATCCAACAAAAACCAGCACTACAATTGCTACAGGTACTTTAGCATCCAGCACCTGTGTGTACAAGGCATGTGTGTGGGTTTTTTTTTATTTTAGGTGGAAAAACCCTTCTGCCATTATTGCATTGTTTTTTTTTTTTTTTTGTCAGTCAAATGTGTGCTGAAACTCTGTAAATATGAGTTTAGAAAGTGCAAAAAGGATAATTTTCAGACAAGAAAGATAAAAAATGTCAGAGAAGCTTTATAGGTAAGCTCCAAACAGTACTGGTGCTACCGCACCTTAAGAACAGACAGGGTTGGTCCACAACTGACTGTAAAATAAAAGCAGAATACAGGCTGCAAAGACCTGTTGATTTACAGATGGAATCCTTTTATTCGTGTAATAATATTGCACAATAATCCTCAACAAGTAGCATGTGTATTAGCCTGAGAGAAAAAAACGCATCCCACCTTGGTCAGTGGAAGGCTGTAGATTTTCTCCTAGAATATTACATGAGCTACTTTTAAAAGATCATTGTAAGTACAATATCGTTTTTACGCTATTGAAGTATTTGCATTTGTAATTCACAAGAGAACTGATACCGTAGAAGAATTTATTAAGTATATTATTGTGCTGGGTTTTAGAGATGACACTCCCCATGTACCCAATGAACAACTGAGTGAGAAGGCCGTCTTGGATATTGTGGAATGGATAACAGGTCTAATCATTGAAGTGTTTCCAAGTAAGTAGTAAACATTCAGTTACAATTTAAACTTATCACTGTTGCCTTAAGTTGGAAGTATGATTTATTTTATCTACTATTCTGTAGTCGTCGTGCTAGGTGACTAAGTCTCTGCAGTAAGAAACTGTATGTTTTTTTTTAATTTTTTTTTTTTTGTTTTTTTTTTTGTGTTTTGTATTTTTGTTTTTTTAATCAGACTGGCTACCCAAGAGATTTGAAGTCCTTGCACATGATTTATCTTCTTTAGAGCAAACCTTCACCCTGTTGATGCACTGGGCATCATTGTTCCTCTCTCACCTCCACAAATCTAAAAGGCATATTTATTTTGTTTGCCTTTTTCTAATTTGTGTTTTTTTTTTCTGCCCTGCCCTGCTCCAGGCCACCATTCTTACCTCCTCTCCTCTCGCCCCCCCCCCCCCCCCCCTCCGGTTCTGTATTTTTTTGTAGTGGTTTACAATGGATGTGGTGTGCCTAGCTCCCTTGAATAACACCTCACTTCTCCATTCTCCCCTTTCTCCTGATCAGTACCTGACTCCTCTATTCACTCCCTCCCCCAATCGACACCGGACTCCTCCATTCACCCCCCTTCTCCCGATCAGCACCCAACTCTTCCTTTCACCCCCTTCCCCAAGCGTCTCCCGGCTCTTGCATTTACCCCCTCTCATTGCAGAGTGGTGCCAATCACCTAAGATCTTTCTCTAAAATTGCCCTATGTTGATCATCATTCCTATTACCCTGTACCATTTTTCTCCATTTGCAGAGCATACACTATATTGCCAAAAGTATTGGGCCACCCCTCCAAATCATTGGATTCGGGTGGATCACCTCCATGGCCACAGGTGTATAAAATCAAGCACCTAGGCATGCAGACTGCTTCTACAAACTTTTGTGAAAGAACGGGTTGCTCTCAGGAGCTCAGTGAATTCAACCGTGGTTCCGTGATAGGCTGCTACCTGTGCAATCTGTGAAAATGTCCTTGCTACTAAATATTCCACGGTCAACTGTTATTGGTATTATAACAAAGTGGAAGCAACTGGGAACAACAGCAACTCAGCCACAAAGTGGTAGGCCACATAAAATGACAGAGCAGGGTCAGCGTATACTGAAGTGTACTGTCTGCAGAGTCAATAGCTAAAGACCTCCAAACTTCAAGTGGCCTTCAAATTACCACAACAACAGTGCATAGAGAGCTTCATGGAATGGCTTTCCATGGCCGAACAGCTGCATCCAAACCTTACATCACAAAGTGCAATGCAAAGTGTCGGATGCAAGGGTGTAAAGCACGCAGTCACTGGACTCTAGAGCAGTGGAGACATGTTCTCTGGAGTGATGAATCACACTTCTCTGTCTGGCAATCTGAAGGATGTGTCTGAGTTTGGTGGTTGCCAGAACAGTACTTGCCTGACTGCTTTGTGCGAAGTGTAAAGTTTGGTGGAGAGGGGTTATGGTGTGGGGGTTTGTTTTTTTTTTGGGGGGGGTTCAGCTTGGCCCCTTAGTTCCAGTGAAGGAAACTCTTAAGGTGTCAACATACCAAGACCTTTTGGAAAATTTCATACTCCCAACTTTGTGGGAACAGTTTGGGGATGGCCCCTTCCTGTTCCAACATGACTGCGCACCAGTGAAAAAAGCAAGGTCCATAAAGACATGGATGAGCGAATTTGGGGTGCAGAAAACTTGACTGGCCTGCAACCTGACAGAACACCTTTGGGATGAATTAGAGCGTAGACTGCGAACCAGGCCTTCTCGTCCAACACCACTCACAATGACACAAACCTCACAAATGCACTTGTGGAAGAATGGTCAAACATTCCCATAGACACAATTCTAAACCTTGTGGACAGTCTTCCAAGAAAAGTTGAAGCCGTTATACAGTAGCTGCAAAGGGTGGGCCAACTCAATATCGAACATTACGGACTAAGACTGGGATGTCATTAAAGTTCATGTGCGTGTAAAGTCAGGCATCCCAATACTTTTGGCAATATAGTGCATTTCTCACCCCCAATGCCAATTAAAATCTCAATACCTATCGTTTCTCCACTGCAGCAGTCTGTTTCCTGCTTCCTCAGCTGGCATGTTATGGGCACACAGATGTCCTTGCCACCCTCTCAGAGCTCTGTTATAACAAGCAGCTTTGATCACAGCAGACCTGTGTTTCATATGCCTCCCAATGCCTTTTGTTCCTTTCTCCTCCTGTCACTTTGTACCCCACTCACCCTTTGCAGAGCGTGTCCATTTCCAGCCAAACTGTCCTCTTCATGTCTGGATTAAGCCCTTTCAGAAAACCCATCTCTACTATCCATCTGCAACTCCGTTTCCCTGTGCAAACCCTGTTCCTCTTATTGTCATCCCCCACAACCCTTTCCTAACACCCTGCATACCCCTTCCCTTAAATAGCACCCCCTACCTCCTAACCTCTAAACTTATTCATACACAATGAGTAGGCATGAAGATAAACGGAGGTGTTAAAATCAATGTGAGCAGGTCAAGTGAAGACACTGGTAAATCACCAATGAACTTCCTCAACATTTTAACAAATGGATTTGTATACCACCAACTAATCAATTCCTAAATGTTACAAAAGTTAGAATAAACTAAAAAAATGTAAAAAAAAATTCAATGCTTGTTTTTCCCAATTTGTTTCCCTTTTTTTCTTTAGAATTTACTTGCCATGTCACTTGAAATACTGATCTATGATTCAGCCCAATCTCGATCCAGTGAGAGGCTCTCCTGGTTCACGCTCTCCTCATTGGCTGCTGTAAATTAAAGCCAGTGAGGAGGGAGCTAGGGGTAAGACTGAGCCACACTGTGTGTGTCCCATAGACACACAGAGGTGGCTCAAGAGCAAGCATGCAAAAGTGCCCCCAGAGCAGCTTGCTCTAGGGGCACTCAACAAGGGTGAGGGGCCAGAAGCGCTGGCAGGGGACCCGAGAACAGGAGGATCGTGGCTGTTGTGTGCCAAACCATTGCACAGAGCAGTTAAGTATGATGTGGTTATTATTTTAAAGAAAAAAATCAAGCCTTTAGAACCACTTTAAAGTTACTGTTTTTGGCTCCGTTTTTTTTTTTTTCTCTAATAACAAACATACACCAAAATACACAAATAAAAAAAAACATGAAAAAAAATATTTACAAAAATATTGAGAAAAAATACTTTTTCTTTTTTTGGATTATTATTATTTTTATTAATATTATTTTAATCATGTTAAAGAAAGCTCCTATCTAACAGCTCTCTGTATAGCGGTTGTTGTAAGCACTTTATTGTTCCCTCTCTCATGGCACTGCTCTGTAGCAATTTCTATATAGCACATGTGAAAACGTTACATCTGTTGTATTGCATTTGACAGCCAATTCAAATGACTGTCTAGTCCACCATAGTACTTACGTTTATTATTTATTACAGGTACATGTATATTGCTGACAATTTACACAACGCTTTACATATACATTGTACTGTACATACACATCAGTCCCTGCTAAGGTCTCTAACATTCATACATACACATACTAGGGCCAATTTACACATTAGCCTACCAGCATGTTTTTGGAGTGTGGGAAGAAACTGGAGAACCTGGAGAAAACCCGCACAGGGAGAACTTTAGAAACTCCACTCATTTAAATGGACATTTGTTTGATTTTTATGCTCTATAGCAGTGTTTCTCAACCTTTTTTTCAGTCAAGACACCCTCTAAAATTGTGGACAGTCCTGAGGCACCCTTTAAAATTATGGACAATCTTGAGGCACCCAATTCTAAAATGTAAAAATCAAATTCTAATAGTTTTTATATAACACAACAACATCCACACATAGACACCCAACGCTAGAGGTGATTTATTCTTCCAAATCAAATACACTTTTTCACGCTGGTCCTTACTAGTATTACAGTTTCCCTCAGTTTACTCCATCACTGAGCTAATGTGACCCCAGCACTGATGGAGAGGGGCAAGGGAGGATGCTGTGCAGGCAACGGACATCCTCCTTATCAACTGATATCATTGGTTGTCAAGATGCCGGTGCATAGAAGGTCGTAATGGTGCACAATGAAAACCTGTGGCTTTGTGCAACAGTTAGGCTTCTTCCAACAGCTAGCTTGTATACAAGTTTTGTGCAATTTTGAGACATTTTGCCAAGGCACCCTGGTTGAGAAAGGCTGTTCTATGGCATGACTCTTTACTAGGTGCATAACATCAATGATAGTTGAGAATCTTATTCTTTTATCCAACTGACCATTTTTGTATTCTGCTTTTACCCAGCAACCAAAGTTTATGCTGCTTTAGGAAATCATGATTACCATCCTAAAAGTCAACTTCCAGTGCAGAACAATTCCATTTATTATCGGATATCAGAATTTTGGAGATCATGGCTAAAACCAGAATCAATATCTACTTTTCAAAATGGTAATAAAATAGCAAAGAAGAATTGGTGGCTGTGCATAATTAATTTTTCTCTAAAAGAGTTCTATTTTGCTTTTCCTATCCAGGAGCATATTACAGTGAGCAGTTGGTAAGCCCAGGATCTTCGGGCCGTATAATCATTCTGAACACCAACTTGTATTATGATTCCAACAGTGTAACAGCCAATATGAAGGATCCTGGGGACCAGTTTACTTGGCTAGAAAATCAGTTAACTGATGCAGCCCAGAAAGGGGAAAAGGTAAAATTCTGACTGTTAAAGAATTGGTAAGCAGATATAGCATTGGGGTAATGTCAGGGCTCCGGGTATGACCAGAGGTGTGTGGACTGACACAGGGAAACGCAGGCTTCAGGTATAGTGTAAATAAGACCATTTATTGAAGACTAAACAACACAAACGCAGTGCAAGGTAAACCTAACACAGTGCAAACAACCCACACCCAACAGATAACCATATATACAATCAAACGTATTCGGGCAAGTCGGGTCGGTAGCAAACGGGCAAACAGGGTACCAGGAGCGAGCGGAAGAGTGGTCAGGAATAGCCGAGGTCAGGACAGGCGGAGTTCGTTCAGAGTCAGGATCAAGGCAGAGTCAGGATCAGGCAGGAAGCAGACAGGATTCAGGTACAGGGGCTCATGGGAAACATACACCAAGGCACTGACTGCAGGTCTGGCCATTATTTAAATACACCTCCTGCAATCAGCCTCAGGTGATAGCTGACTGCAGGAGTGAGCTTCTGGTTGCTGAGAGCATCCGCTGGCCAGCCCTGGTACTGCAGCCCACACGGCAGATGAGTCCCACCACTAATGGTGAGTCCATTCCTGACAGGTAATGTAAACTAATGAACAACTACCCACATGTAAGGCATTGAAAGCCCCACCAGGAAGAGTGTTGATGCTTCCTACACAGTGTTGTCCCTAGTTGTGTTAGACCATGATATTGGCCAAGACAAGATATACCGTATTTTTCGCTCCATAAGACGCACCTGACCATAAGACGCACCTAGGTTTTAGAGGCGGAAAACAAGAAAAAAAATATTCTGAACCAATGGACTGCAGACACAGTACAGGAAATGACCAGAGACTGCAGACATACTACAGGAGATGACCAGAGACTGCGGACTTACTACAGGAGATGACCAGACTGCGGACTTACTACAGGAGATGACCAAGAGACTGCGGACTTACTACAGGAGATGACCAAGAGACTGCGGACTTACTACAGGAGATGACCAAGAGACTGCGGACACAGTACAGGAGATGACCAAGAGACTGCGGACACAGTACAGGAGATGACCAAGAGACTGCGGACACAGTACAGGAGATGACCAAGAGACTGCGGACACAGTACAGGAGATGACCAAGAGACTGCGGACACAGTACAGGAGATGACCAAGAGACTGCGGACACAGTACAGGAGATGACCAAGAGACTGCGGACACAGTACAGGAGATGACCAAGAGACTGCAGACCTTTGGGTAGGGAGGGGGAGCGGGTACCTGAATTTGACAGTTGTCCTCCCTTTAGTGTGGGCACCTGGCTGATAGCTGGGTGCCCACTGCACATGCACGAGATGCGCTGTGCTTTGTGATTGGTCTGGCGTCTTCTGGGACCTGTCGTGTCAAAAAAGATGCCGTACCATTCACAAAGTGCAGCGCTTCTTGCGCATGCGCACTGGGCACCTGGCTGTCACAGCCGAGAGCCCACACTAAAGATACCAGCGCTGGAACGAGGAACAGGTAAGGTTCTACTGCAGAGAAGAGATGAGCGTCCGGCCTGGTATTCTGATGCGCGGTGGAAATACCGGCCCGAACTACGCTCCATATTCGCTCCATTTTTTGGGGGAAAAAGTGTGTCTTATGGAGCGAAAAATACGATAATTTTTTGCAGGTGGATGTATGGTCCTACATGGAAGAATTAGGCTGTATGAAAACCTGAAAGCTATTTTCTGGATTTGGCATCATGACTCACTGCATACAAGTTTGCAAATAATTTTTTTTAATCTGTTGTAAAGTTTCTTAGTTGGATATCCTGCCAGTAACAGCACTGTCTGTTGTTGGCCCACAGTATTTAACAACAGACCTACCGCATGTGCACCTTCAGCTGGCCATTGGACTGCCTATCAAGTCTGTGCATACCTCCTGCAGGCCTGATAGTTATCCCAGTGGCCAAATGAAGAAAAGCTCACAGTACAACTGCGCTGCTGCAGAGCAGACACAGACACAGCCCACTGTTTTCTATGGGGCGGTATGGTGGAAACAGACCGCCTGTCCATTTCCACACGAATGTCATCGAGTCCACCGGATGCATGGAAAACAGATCCCCATCTATCTGTTTTTAGCATAAAGGTTCGGACACATGTCCGCTGATACCCACTGCTCCATAGAGAGCTATGGATAGTCTGACTGGGTCCTCCTGAAAAACTGACAGGTGGATCCGATCAGACCGTCAGTGTGAAAGGGGCCTAAGATTGAGTTCCTCCTTCTCAGTCAAAAGGAGACTAGTAATAGCTTAAAGGGTTAATTGCTAATTACCTTTACCCAGTGACATTCGCTCTCAGGCTGTGGCCACTAGATTTTGGTCCCACAAGCTGGAAAATCTTTCTGCAGGGTACAGCTGAGAGTGGCATTATTAAGTAAGTGACGGCATGGTGTGAAATTGGCCAGTCCTTTGTCGCGAGTTGGTGAGAAGGGCAGGGGTTGGGCACCGCGTTCGTCACATTCTCCAGGTAAGAAGCCTGGAAAAAAACTTGCAAAAAATTTATTAAAAATCAAAAACTGTTTACAGTGAGGCATGATGCTAATCATACTAAAATAGATTCGGGAGTCACTATATGTTGTGTGATCCATTGCGAAGACACCAAAGTTGGAAGTGATTCACCATATAATTACATGAAAGATTATTATTTGATTCATTTCATTTATATAATTGTATTGTTGAAAAAGGAGGAATAGTATAATGGCACAATATCACTGTTGATGTATTTATATGTTGGTTGATATCAAATGCACTATAGAGATTAATATTTATGTGAGTTCTAATATGAATATACACTGTTTTATTATTGGTTTATACACCACAGGTGAATCAGGTTGAGTATACACAGGAGGCGAAACAAAATTCTTTTTATTAATTTTTGTAAGGTTTTGTGGGAACACAAATATTTGTATGCAGCCTTCATTGTAGAATTTTCTTTGCAGAACAGATCAGATAGCAAAGGATTGCCTTTCTTTATATTTGCATTATATCAATAAATTATGCTGAACTGCAGATTGTATAGAAAATCCATAAATGGGATCACACCAGTGCCCCAAATCAGACACTGCAAGTGTTGCAAGCTTTAGAAAAACAGCATATTACAGTATTTTGTGCTTGTTCTAAAATTATATTTTGGAAAGGAATTTTGTTTTTGTTTGTTTTATTTCAGAATACAACACAACACACTTACATTCTCTGATACATTGCAGGTTTATATAGTGGCACATGTGCCCCCAGGTTATTTTGAAAAAAAACGTGGAAAACCTTGGTTCAGGGAGAACTTCAACAAGCGTTACGTGGAGATCATCCAGAAACACCACAATGTGATAAAAGGGCAGTTCTTTGGACATCATCACACAGACTCATTCAGAATGTTCTACAGCAACTCAGGTAATGTTTTTGATGATAAAAGGTTTATTAAAATAAATGCAGCATAAATCATAAACAAATGAATCAAGCAATACATGTTTCTACACAAATGAATGTCCCTTTGCTCTGCCTAAGTTTATCAAGTGCAGCGCCTCTACGCACCCAAAGGAGGATAAGAGAGCACTTCTACAATTCTCTCTATAACTACAATAAACATTAGACCTTTATTCTGTACCTGTAGTTTAAAAAATCTAGAAGATGATTGAATTGTCTTTAGGGTAGCTCTGAGTTTTGTTTTATTCTTTTTTCTGCACAAAAACTTTTTAGGTATTTTTTGGAGAATAGTTTATTCTCATTAAAGGGTAACTCCACTTTCATGGGAAAAATGGCAAAAAAAAAAAAAAAATATTTAGCATATACAATTGCCACACAAGACCTATTATAATTGAATGTTATTATATAGTTAGTCTGGCTGAAAAAATACAAAAGTCCATCCAGTTCAACCATTAAAAAAAAAAAAAAAAAGTTTCCTACACCCACAGTTGATCCAGAGCAAGGGAAGGCAAAAAACATAGCAAAGCATGATGCAATTTGATCCTGCTGGGAAAAAATTCCTTCCTGATCCCCCAAGAGGTAATCGGATATTCTCTGGATCAACTTTACCTATAAATGTTAGTAACCAGTTATATTCTGTGTATCCAAGAAAGAATCCAGGCTTTTTTTAAAGCAATCCACTGAGCTGGCCAGAGCCAGCTCTTGAGGGAGTTTATTCCACATCTTTACTGCTCTTACTGTGAAGAAACCTTTCTGTATTTGGAGATTAACTTTCTTTTCCTCCAGATGTAAAGAGTGCCCCCTTGTCCTCTGTAATGACCTCAGGGTGAATAACTCTACACTGAGTTCACTATATGAACCACTGATGTATTTATACATGTTGATCATATACCCCCCCCCCCCCCCTGCTTAATCTCCTCTTCTCAAGAGAGAATAAATTCAGTTCCTCTAATCTTTCCTCATAGCTGATCTCCTCCATGCCTCATGTCAGTTTGGTTGTCCTTCTCTGTACTTTCTCCAGTTCCCCAATGTTCTTTTTGTGAATTGGTGGTATTAAAAATTACCTTTTCTATTCAGTCTGAAGCTCTGTAATTTTCTGTAGACTGCAAAGCAATATGGCTACTTGGAGATGTTCTGTACACAGAATGTGTACAGAACGTCCCCCAGAAACATCATTTCCTACTCGTGTGATTGGCTTACTGATTTTTCACAGAAATCTGCACTAAAATACCAGTCAGATTTCAGGAATTACCTGCCACAAAAATGTCAATTTTGGTGAGATACTTCCAATAGGAAATCACGTTTAAAGGGATGCAGACCCTGCCACTTTCCTCATTAGAACCCTGCAGGTGCAGCAGCGTATTGATAATTATAAAACCACTCCCATTAGATTTGCATTCCACATGTACACAGACAAACAGCTATTCCTTCAGAATAACAAAAGGTAGGAATCTGCAACAAATCTTTGCAATCTGCATAGATCACTTAGAGGGGAATGTTTTTTTCCTCAACAAAAGTCGAGTTACTCTTTTTTTTTTTTTTTTTTTAAAGTGGCGTTCCAGCCGTTTTTGTGTTTTATTAAAAGTCAGCAACTACAAAAACTGTAGCTGCTGACTTTTAATAAACACACACTTACCTGTCCTGGAGTCCAGTGATGTTCTCACCCGTGCCGTCCCTTCTCCCCTTCTCTACTGTGGGCACCAGGCTGTGATGACTTGCGGCTTCACAGCCGGGTGCCCACTACGCGAGTCATGCTGCGCCTCCTTATTGGTCCGGCAGTCTTCTGGGACCTGTGAAAGTTCCCAGGATACTGCAGGATGGAGGAGGGGGCCAAACATCCGGCTCACTTAGACGCGGCGAACTGAACCGGAAGTGGGAGCGGGTACCTGTCAAAACCAGGTATCCGCTCCCTCCCAAAAGGTGCCAAATATGGCAGTGGAGGGGGGGGGGAGGCAATAAGCAGAGTTTCCACTTTGAGTGGAACTCTGATTTAAGTTACATAGGGTCCTGTGACTGTCAGCGGTTAATGCAGATGCGAAGATTAGCAGGCTTTGCCTGGACACTTATATGCACACTGCTGAGGGAAAAAAAGGCAGTTAGCTGCTATATGTTCACATTCTAACTTATTGCTTTCACTGTCATTCCAGGTGACCCCATTAGTACCATGTTTATTGCTCCTGGAGTATCTCCATGGAAGACCACATTACCAGGTGTTGAGAATGGAGCCAACAATCCTGGAATAAGAGTGTTTGAATATGACCGTAACACCCTTAATATTCTGGTATGTGTTAAAGAAAACAAAGTTTAAATCTGAATTCCAAGAGTTCATAACCGTTGCTTATAAGCATTGGGTAATGCAATAAAATGTGTAGAAATATGTAGCATGAGCAGGAAACTAACAAGATCCCATGTGCCAGTCAATTTGAAGAGGTTTTAACAGGCAGCACAAATTAAGTACTCATCACTAGTAGCAAAGTATTTATGGTCAAGCTAAGTTGCTTTACACAATCAGCCATGATTATAGGCCAGTTGAAGAATGGCTTAGAGGCAGTAAAGCACGATCTGGTCCACCAGGCAGTTACAGCACTATTTTCTTGGCATTCGTAACCACTTTGCCCTCCAGAGGATTTATGCAGGCCATAGACGGGGAGAAAACCAGCCGGTATTTTAACAAAAAAACCAAAAATCGGTCGTTCAATAGGCTGACGTTACCACCAACAGTGAAAAAAAAAAAATCGGCGGATTTTCTTCCCGTCTACGGCCAGCATTTAATTACTTCTGTCCCTGCAGAGAGCCCCGCTATTATATTTGACATTAAAAAGTATTGCGGTTGCAACATTGTATCTATTTGTATCCATTTCGAATACCGGTAGTTTTTTCGGCTACAAATAGATACATTGTTGCAACCGCAATACTTTTTAATGTCAAATATAATAGCGGACTGGAATTCTTCTTCTTTCTCTTCTTTCTCTTCCTCTTCTTCTTTCTCTTCTTTTTCTTCTTTCAGGTCACGGCTCATGAGCAGATTATTTATTGGTAAAAAGATCAGCCGATTTGCCCATCATTGCCGCGAAAATCAGCCGATTGGCAAAATCAGCCGTTCCCCCCCCCCCCCTACCCCCCCCCCCCCCCCCCCCCCCCCCAACTTTACCGATCAAAAAAAATCTGACAAAATCCAGAAAAACAGCCGACCAATTAACCCATTAACGGTGCGAAAATCGGCTGATTTTCGACCCATCTTTGGCCTGCATTACTCCCCCTTCCTGATCAGGCCATTTTCTGCATTCCAGCGCTGCGTTACTTTAACTGACAATTGCGCGGTCATGCAACACAGCACCCAAATAAAATGTGTGTCCTTTTTTTCTCACGAATAGTTTTCTTTTAGTGGTATTTGATCGCCTGTGCGGTTTTTATTTTTTGTGCTATAAACAAAACGATAATTTTGAGAAAAAAAAAAAAAAACTATTTTTCACTTCTTGCTATTAAACATGTCCAGTAAAAAAATTTAAAAAATCTAATTTCGTCATAAATTTAGGCCAAAATGTATTCTGCTACATGTCTTTTTATGTCTAGTTATAGTGTTTACAAATGGCGAGATATTTACTGGGATATTTGTACTGGGATGCTAGGGAAGGCGGCGATCAGCGACTTATAGTGGGACTGTGGTGGGCATTCTGACACTGGGGGGAACTGACTTGGTGTCGCTGACATCCCCAGTGACACAAATACAGTGATCAGTGCTAATAAAAAGCACTGAAACTGTAGTAATGGCACTGAGCAGGAAGGGGTTAACAAATGGTTAACTGTGTGCTGTTTTACTGTGTGCTGTGTTAGTGCTTCCAACTGTAAGCACACTGCTTTGTATGGCTGTGCTATGCAGAGCCATAAAAAGCAGTGTACATGAGCTGACAGGGGAGAGAACTGTATTGTTTACATACAGTTCTCTCTCTCCGTTAGTAATGCTCGGCAATCACCAGATGCCAGCGAGTAATCACCAGCCGGGACCCGGTGATTGACAGCCGAGGCCGTGAATAGCGCACATGCCCCCTACCCAGAAATGCAAAATCACGTATATATACGTGATTTTGCACAACTCTTCTGCCTTGTAGCAGTATTTCTGCTATAGGGCGGTGGGAAAGCGGTTAAAGTAGACTTTTTTTACTTTACCCACACTGGGCCAAGCATCAAGATCACTCAAAGATGCAGTATATTTAGGGAAAATATGGCCATAGACAAGGTAGCAGTTTTGGCTGCCTCATCCCTTCAGCAAAACTAAACTTCTCTATGTGCATTGTATGTACTGGCATAGCTCATCAGACACCAGATATACAGTATACAAGTGCATCTTTCTATGTAAAGTGCTAAGCAAGTGTACAGCTTTGACCAGTTGTGCTATCTTTTTTTTTTTTTATTCACGGCAGAGAAAAGCTGTACATGAGCCTCCTGGACATCCACTAGGCCCTAGACCAGCAATGGGCAAACTACGGCCCGGCGGACCTTTTAATCCGGCCCGCGGAGCTAGGCTCCCGCTAGGCTCCTCTCACAGTCCGCCCTGAAGACCGGTGTAGCATGAAAATCTGTCTCCTATGAGGATCTGTCCCCCTCGACGTATCTGCGCATGTGCCGGAGATCGCCGATCGGCTGCTAATGCCTGAAACTGGCACATGCGCAGATACGTCGAGGGGGACAGATCCTCATAGGAGACAGATTTTCATACTACACCGGAACGGCGCGGGAACACGGTGAGAGGAACGCGCGGAGCAAAGGTAAGTGAATTGACACAGGGGGGACTTGGGGACTTAATATGGGGGATGAATTAATATGGGGAATGAATTACTATGGGGGGGTGAATTACTATAGGGGGGGTGAATTACTATATGGGGGATGAATTACTATATGGGGGATGAATTACTATATGGGGGGAATTACTATGGGGGGGTGAATTACTATATGGGGGATGAATTACTATATGGGGGATGAATTACTATGGGGGATGAATTGCTATATGGGGGATGAATTGCTATATGGGGGATGAATTACTATATGGGGGATGAATTACTATATGGGGGATGAATTGCTATATGGGGGATGAATTGCTATATGGGGGATGAATTGCTATATGGGGGATGAATTGCTATAGGGGGGATGAATTACTATAGGGGGGATGAATTACTATAGGGGGGATGAATTACTATGGGGGATGAATTACTATGGGGGATTAATTACTATGCTTACTATGGGGGAATATTACTATACTTACTATGGATGACACATACACATCATTCATCTACTCTTGGTCCGGCCCCCGGATCCAATATATGAACCCATTGCGGCCCTCAAGTCAAAAAGTTTGCCCACCCCTGCCCTAGACTGTAACTCTTAAGTGAAGTAAAATTAATTTAGTCGTCTTTAGAGCTCTAAATAAAACAGAGGTAGCTTGTGTGGAAGAATTTTGAAGAGGGTTCAAGGCACTGTTCCATTCACCTATTAGTTCATTTATTTCAGTAATGCAGCTTAAAAGGTGAAACTAATATATGAGACTCATTACATGCAAAGCAAGATAGTTCAAGCCGTGATTTGTCATAATTGTGATGATTATGGCTTACAGCTCATGAAAACCCCAAATCCACAATCTCGGAAAATTAGAATATTGTGAAAAAGGTGCAATTTTCTAGGCTCAAAGTGTTCCACTCTAATCAGCTAATTAAGCCATAACACCTGCAAAGGGTTCCTGAGCCTTTAAATGGTCTCTCAGTCTGGTTAAGTAGGAATCACAATCATGGGAAAGACTGCTGACCTGACAGTTGGGGACTTTCACAAGGAGTGGACTGAGGCTGGAGTCAGTGCATCAAGAGCCACCACACACAGACGGATCCTGAACATGGGCTTCAAATGTCGCATTCCTCTTGTCAAGCCCTCCTGAACAACAAACAATGTTAGAGTCTTACCTGGGCTAAAGAAAAACAGACCTGGTCTGTTGCTCAGTGGTCCAAAGTTCTCTTTTCTGATGAGAGCAACTTTTTCATCTCATTTGGAAACCAAGGACCCAAAGTATGGAGGAAAAATGGAGAGGCACACACTGCAAGATGCTTGAAGTCCAGTGTGAAGTTTCCACAGTCTGTGTTGATTTGGGGAGCCATGTCATCTGCTGGTGTTGGTCCACTGTGCTTCATTAAGTCCAGGGTCAACCCAGCCATCTACCAGGAGATTTTGGAGCACTTCATGCTTCCTTCCGAAGACCAGCTTTATGGGGATGCTGACTTCATTTTCCAGCAGGACTTGGCACCTGCCCACACTGCCAAAAGCACCAAAACCTGGTTCAATGACCGTGGGATTACTGTGCTTGATTGGCCAGCAAACTTGCCTGACCTGAACCCCATAGAGAATCTATGGGGCATTGCCAAGAGAAAGATGAGAGACATGAGACCGAACAATGCAGAAGAGCTGAAGGCCGCTATTGAAGCATCCTGGTCTTCCATAACACCTCAGCAGTGTCACAGACTGATAGCTTCCATGCCACGCCGCATTGAGGCAGTAATTGCTGCAAAAGGGGCCCAAACCAAGTACTGAGTACATATGCATGCTTATACTTTTCAGAGGTCCGATATTGTTCTATGTACAATCCTTGTTTTATTGATTGCATGTAATATTTTAATTTTCTGAGATTGTGGATTTGGGGTTTTCATGAGCTGTAAGCCATAATCATCACAATTATGAGAAATCACAGCTTGAACTATCTTGATTTGCATGTAATGAGTCTATCTCATATATTAGTTTCACCTTTTAAGTTGCATTACTGAAATAAATGAACTTTTACACGATATTCTAATTTTTCGAGTTTCACCTGTACAAAAGATCTATCGAAAGATGGCACCCGCGAATGCGCGTGCACACTCGCATCTCCAACAAACTGGCGTGCACGGTATGCACATGCGCCATTTACACTATATAAGGTTATCATTGACGTCCGGCGGTACAGACACACCCCTTATGATTAAGTGCGTGGCACGAAACGCGTCAAAGAGGAGCTGTACACTGTGACGTCACGCCGCCGGAGCCTCAAACAGATCCGGCAGCCATCTTTGTTCTTGGATGGTCAGTGTGTTACTACTACTGATTACTTGTTTTATCTACTTTATACCCACGTGGATGGCAATATTTCATAAATTAAGTTTAAATTACTACACTATGGGCATCCTTTCCTTTGTCTCTATTATGAGCTAAAAAATCCACAGAGCCCATTTTGCAGGACGGCTGTGGTACTTCATGTAACCCAGAGGA